CGTAGCTGTGGACGTGAAGAGTACGAGAACGATTGTGGATCAAGCCTTCTCAGTGCCGAAGTGTGTGAGACTGGCGAGAATGTCCGAGAAATCATACGAGTTGCTATGTAAGATGTTCTCAGCAGTTCCAGAGAGAACCAAAGAAGAATTGGAGTCAATATTAGGAAAGAAGTTCATGGGATATGTGAGCGGGAACTTCAGTGACTTCGAGAGACAGAAACAGAGAGGATCAACTGTCACAGATTACAATGCAGTAGATGAGAATGATGAAGTCCACCGAGTGATGATAGAAGTGGAACCATTGCTGGAAGCTTCGGGAAAACGTAATTGGAGGAGCATCATGTTGACGCATGACGAGTTTCCTTGCCACTGCTTGCTGCAGACCTGGTGGTATCCCAAGCGTAGTAATGTGATGTTGATCTGGGACTCTGGAGAGCTGCTCTCCATGGGTTTACCAGATTCATCACAGCCCATAACAATAGTGATAGTGGGAGTTATGATGGCGATACGATGGCTGGAAGCTCATGTGAGAGAAAATAACAGACAGGAGGCACCGACGAGAGAACAGTTGCGGGGATTAGATTGTCTGAAAGATTTAGATCTTTTTGAGACAATGTGCAAAATTCTAAACATTCCGATGGAAGTGAAGAAGATATGGGCGAGAAAACGATTGATGCCATGGTTCAGAGCTAACATGACTGCATGGTTGTATGAATATGCGAAAAAGCATATGTCGAAGCATGGCAGACTGTACAGTGAATATCAGCTGGACATTGGAGCAGGAGCTTTTAAGCGAGCTCTCGTGACTCATCGGAATGCAGTGACCACCGCTGTGGAGAGAATTTCCAGGACGAGTGAACGTAGTGGAAAGGAGAAGGCAGAGATGTTAAAGGAAGATTTGGAGAGAAACGTGACGTTGTGTCTCCATAACAGCTTCTGCAGGAACAGAGAATCTAACGTGGATCCCCTACCTTGTTGTAAACAGAGGGTGGAAGAGCAGAAGTGTTGGAGGACGGCTTCCAGCAGCGTCAGGATTGCTAATGATGTGTTACAAGATATGGAGACTGAGAGTGCAGAGTCAGTATCACAGGAGGAAGAAATGGAGCATTGACGAATGACCGAAAAGCAAGATGGAAAAAGAGACAAAAATTAGAAGAATTTAGAAGTTTTAGAACTTCTAAACGACGGAAAAAGAAGAAAACAAAGGAGTAATGAAGAAAAAGTTAAAACTCAGAATTGTTTTAAGTGTGTGAAAAAACTCAAGTGAGAAACCAAGCAACCAAGTTGTAATTGAAAACTGAAACATTTAGTTGAGTTTTGAAATTGTTGCATTTATAAATTTGCATTTTGATTTTAGTGGAGTGGCTTTAGAGACACTCACTTACTATTTATATAGAAAGGCTCAAGTGAAGGAGTATATTTAAATATTCCAGCCTGCATGACTGTTTTTAATCAGCTAGGAGAACTGATCACTTTGTGGTGACATGGAAGGCTTGAGTAATCTCTCGAAGAGGGAGATTGTTTCATTGTTCTTGCTAACCACAGAGTTTCTTAGTTTTAGTATTCAGGACAATAACAAGCAAGATTTCCGAAGGGAGAAGCATAGTAGGATAAATTTAGCTTGTTGGTTGGCAGGACTGTCCTGCAAGCCAGCACCTTTTAAATCTAAGAGAAAAAGTTTTAATCGGGACATTGACACTGGAAGTCAGAAAATATGTTTTATCTGAAGTCATATCCTCAATGTGCAGATTAATGAAAGAATTTGAAGGCTATAGTGATGTAGTATGATGCCATTTGTATTCTGCAGTGAGTCGATGTGACGTGGATAAAAGTAATTTCGTGCATTTTGTAAATTCTGTTCGATGACACTGTACCTATTTTACGAACATTGCGTGATTCAATGAGGACATTGACCGGACTGTCCGGGGAGTATGTGACATTCGACCAGAATGTGAAAAATGCAATCTCTGCGGAATTCGAAATTTTAGCAGCGAGCCTTCCGAATTAGTGATTTTAAAGGATTAACGACGTTATGTAACATTCGTCTACTGTAGTCACACATGAGGCTTAAGAAAAATAGGCCCTATAACCATTGGCTCAAGAGTCAGGGACACTATCTCTTGTGTTTTTCTACGTCAAATCAGTCGGAGCCAATTCGGTTCGCTTGTGACATGAGACTACGACCCGTTACAGCTTAAAGGCTACTACCAAAATATCCCCCCACTCTAGAAATAAGAACGTCCCCATACTTAGGTCTCTAGATACCCAAAATACATGAACGCCGTTAAAAACCGGGTCAGAACAATCCGTTAAGTTACTTTTTATCAGACAGTGGAACTTTGATCCATTTCAGATGGATCAACCTAAAACTCGCCTTACCTCAACATAACAATCATAAAACACACTCTAGAAATTTAAATTGAGTACTCACATCGTAGCACGCTCAAGAACTGGGAGTAATTAAGTCGGTAATCAACTCGAGAATTAAATAATGTAACTAAATGAGTTAAATGTTTATCAGTTTCAATAACAGGACCAAGTTTGAACCCTAGAGTATGGTTTCTCGTGAACCATTGGGACACTCAAGCTGTCCACCTTTCCATCGAAGGTTCACTCTAGTCCAGTTTGAATGATAATCCAGTCGAGTAATAATTGTCCAATTCTCGGGAATACGCTTCCTTCTATTTCAGATAGGACAGCTCTACTCTAGTTTTATTGTGACGGAAATTGCGAATGGCAATTTCCTACTGCTTTGTCTGGCAACTTTCCCGCGATTATTACTCGATCGTTCTGATTTCTCTTTTTCGGTTTTCAGTTATCGCGAGAAAATCGTGCATGACAGGCTCCAATCGAATTTTTGAAAAATCAAATTTCACTCCAAAATTAAGCGTTCTTGTTTTTCTCAAGGTCAAACTTCCAAATATGACCGACACGCACATTATTTGAACGATGGGACAAAACGTGAAGGTTGAAGGATTCGGGAATTGCTAATTTTTAAATTTTCGAAGTGATTACGTAACATTTCTGAGAAACGTCAGAAACGGCCATTTTGGCAAAAAGGTCGAAGAAAAACACAACAACATTAGTTGCGCGGACGATAACTACGAGAATCGTGATCAAAAAACAACAGCAGATTGCAGGAATAGCAGAGAAGGTTCCGAGTTGCAACTATTGTGTTGCTACAATAGTTGCAAGGCCGTTGCGGACAACGGTGAAGGGTGGAGGACAGCCTTCCGGATTAAGAAGAAATCAAGATTAACGAGCTTGATTCAGTGGATTCAAGAATCCGGAAGGGTTTCGGAACTGAGACATTTATCCTTTTATATAGACTTTTAGCTGCTTGTCATGTCCTGATTTGAATTTAATTAACAACTGGATTCATTTTGATAAGGATGAGAAGCTAGGAGTTGGGGGGAAAGGGTTGATCCATCTTCGATGGAGATGATGATTTTTATCTACTGAACAAAAACAATAATAATATAGTAAATAGTAGTAACCCTGTTTTTAGGAGTGACCTCGTGGTCTGGGGATACTGAGACCCAGCCATGAGCTCACTATTTCTGCATGTAATTAAGTTAATTTGAGTGTTTTGACCGAAGCCGAAAGCAGTAACGTTTTTGTCGACCCGATGTTAGAAAATACCACCAAAAGTACTGGCTTGGTAGAGACGGTGAAAAGCATATAAAGCTCTGTTTAGACGTTAGCCAGTCGTCTTAGGACTTAGTTTTATTTTCCGTCGATATGTATCTTCCGGGCGAATGTTACAATCTGGCAGAATGGCACAATAAATATTTTTGATTTTCTATAGGGTTTTCAAAAGTACCTCAACATGGGAAAATTTTGACCGGGCAATGGGGCAAAATTCGGAAACCATGGATTGAAAATCAATATCCGAAAAATTGGTCGGACAGGGTAGTGTTTGAATTTTTAACAAGATAAAAGGTGGGTGAGTCTTTCATTCGTTTATCATTTCTCGGTTCTGATGCCGTCACCTCTAAATTTTGCTTTACCACAATGACCTGGTTGAAAGTTTGAAACACTACCCTGTCCGACCAATTTTTCGGATATTGATTTTCAATCCATTGTTTCCGACTTTTCCCCATTGCCCGGTCAAAGTTTTCCTATGTTGAGGTACTTCTGAAAACCCTATGGACCGTCCCTTGAATAACGTTTCTTTTGTATAACCTTTTGTTCAACAAACCTGAGACATATACTCCGATGATGCTAGCACATGGCTCAAAAACAAGTGAATACCTGAACTAAATTACTATATTCATTGTTTATTTATTCCCTAACAGGGTAAATGAAATCTTTTGTTGTTGTTGTTGTCTTGCAGAATGGTGCCTGAATCAGTGGGTTTTTGGTACCACTCAGCTCTGACCTTTCTCTCTGAATCCACGTTGAATTTAAATCCAAAAAGGCCAAATCACCGTTACTATCAAGTTCTTCTATGTTGAACTGCAAGTTTGGATGCAACTTTTTGGCAGCCTCGAGGACTACCCCAGGATCGCCCTTGACAGTTCTAACTATGTCGTCCACATATCTTTGAAAAACTTTCACACCATTCTTAGTCCGATTTGCTCTTGTTTCTTGCAAATCATGCAAAACCATACTGTTTCAGCGATGTTTGCGTATTCGGATTCCGATGAGTTACTTCCAGGGCAGACTTCCTTGTTATCCTCATTTTGCACAGTCACTAGGTAAAGACGGTTGAAAACGAGTAGAGTTAAGGTAAATGACGTAAGCCAGTCGTCACTAGGTACTTTTCCACGCTCTGTCACTGTAATGTCTGGGTGAATGTTACTACTCAAGTTAGTTTTTGTTTCACTTACGAGTATTCTGAAGTTTCAGCACGGTTTTAACTACTATGAAGTTTGCTTTCGTGATTCAAATTACTGTAAATGACTCGTCCTGGCTCAAGTAAAATAAAATCGTACGGTTTTCAAACATCTGATAAAAAAACCAATTTTTAATGCGAAACTTACCTTATGTTAGCATAATTGGACAAAGATTGCTCAAATAAGTTCAGTAGCTCAAGATATTAACAACGACATTCTGAGATTAACTCCTATGATGTAATTGTTTCAGTTAAAGTAAATAAGTAATACTCATGTTTTTCCATATTCAAGAAGTTTTGGACCGTCAGTCCAGTTGACTGAGAAGTTTCCCCGATCAAGCAAGATAATGGTGTACTTGGGCTTCCGGCTTTTCTCCAGCGCTTCCTCATTACTTTGCTGAGCTCTTTGTCGTGAACAAAGACAACTCTACTGAAGTATTTATATAGGCAAATTGCAAAGAGCAATTGGACTCCAGACTGATTTGTGTTGCGTGTTTCCAGCATTTCTAATTTTGGCTGGTCTGATTTGCCTTCTGCGTTTCAATTGCCACGAGAGCTTTGTGCCAATTTGCAGTTTTAAAAAATTCATTCAATTCACACCTAAAATATTTTTTTTGACCGAATGGCACATCATTTATATATTGTTGAATTTGTTAAAACTCTTTCCTCTGTGCGGATCTTAACGGCTAATCTAAAGTTGCTACCTTCCTTTTCCAGCTAAAAAAGCTCACAACGATAATCTCTGTGAAATTGCCGTAAGCCAGCAATCTGTGTGTTTGCTCTAAGTTGTAATAGACAAATTTTCGATTTTTGGTATTCATATCGATTTTTTCTATACATTTTATGTATTGATGTACATTTTTACGTGAAATTTTTTTTTATCAGGCTAGATTATGGATGAAGAAAAGTTGGCCGCCGGAGATGGTAACAATGGAAGATCAACTGCAGTGACTAAATCCTGGATTTCGGGAGTTTTTTTCAGCCTTGCAAGATTCATTGTGAACTCACCTGTGAATTTGTACACGTTCGTTGCCCGCCATTTTCTACAGAGGTTGAGATTGTCTTCAACAACACAAATGGGGCACATTGAGAATTTTTCGGTGAGTACTTAAGTTAAGCGGCAAGCACAAATCATGTAAGGAGCAGAAAGAATGAAAGAAAGAATGAATTATTTAAAAAAAAAGAATTAATTAGAGAGGAGAATTAATTAATTGGAGAGGCATTAATTTGCAAAGATGTCATTTATTATTTGCTCAGGAAAAAAATCAACGTTTAAGAGAACATTTTCGATTTATTACTATCATTATCAGTCTAAAAAAGGAAAAACAATAAACATACAAACCAAAGTGTACAAACAGAATAAAATCAAAATTAAATAACATAAAAACAGTATAAAAATAGCACCGAGAGATCTAAAAATATATATATATATATATATATATATATATATATATATATATATATATATAGATATCTTTAAGCCATCTTTGAAGGGACAATCAACCTTTCGATAGTAATTTCCAAGTTGTTGTAAATTCCAAGTTGACGGTAACTTTGGTAGAAGCATATATTTTATTGGTGCAAGTTCGCTCTCGAGAGCGATATATTCAGAAAATTATTGCAAAAGAAAGATGCTGCTGAGTTGTGCGACCGCTATCCCTGGCCTGAGTTTCAACAACCAAACAAGGAACCAGTTGAAAGTATTGCAGAAAATGCTGGTGAAAGGAAAGTTGAAGGAAGTGTCTAATATCGTTATTTGGCACGACGTAATTAACAATTCGATTTCTAAACACCGCAGCAATAACAACACTGCATTTGACGTAAACAAGTTGCTTCAGATACTCTTGCAGTTCAAGAACAGGATCAAGTGTATTATATGCACGAGACGGTGTGGAACGCAAGACATCTTCGAAGCGCTGGTGACAACTGGTATTTTAGTTTCGCACACAGAACGACACTTGTCATCAAAAAGGAATCTGAGGAAGCCTGACTACAAAGAGGAACTGAAATTACTTCACCCAAAACAGCATATTGAATTAACATTTATATCCCTTATATTAAGTTTTCAGTCCAAAATAGAACAACTGGTGAAAAAGTCGAGGTCGAAGAAACGAAAACTATCTAAGAAACATCGAAACAAAAAGAAAGCAGGGTCACAGTAGAGGTTAGGCGGTTTTTTCTTTCGTGCCTTTGTTGACTCCAGAGGGGCTCAGCTCCTCGGAGGCGCCCAGGCTCGTTGTTTGCGCCCGTCGTGTTCTCTGTCCCGTGCTTGTCTGGTTCTTCATCAGTGTTTTTGCTTCTCTGACTATGGTCCATTTACTTGTCCCTCTACCATACTTGGCGAGAATCTGGAAGAAAAACGACACTTGGAGATATTTTGTGCGATATCAACGTAGCTTGCGTAAGCACATACATAACAAGTACCGTGTTGACTTCCTTCATTCTTGTCTGAGAAACGATTTGACCCCACGATTTCTCAAGTTCCGCATTCCCAGCAATGGTTGTTTTGAGCCTACCATCGTTCATAACTTCCACAGGAAACTATCGAAGAAAGAGATAAGCACTACCAGTGCTCGAGTCCTAGAAGTCAAATAGGAACTTGGTAACGCACGCAAAGAATTTCTCCAATACACCTCTGAGGCCACTCTCTCTTCCAAAATGTTCCATACTAGTAATTACACGCGCGAACTAGTGTCTGAAATAAAAGATCGGCACCGCAGAAAGCTTGAGAGTCTTTCCAGCGAACAAGAAAAACCTCTCCACGATATAAAGAATACTGTCAGGATTGTGGGAGACATCAAAGTGCCAGATCTAGTGCTTGACTACTTATCGTTGGGTCCGAAACACCCAGTGCGCGACAAGTTTAACGACTTACACTTCTTAGCAGATGTGGATCGTCTCCTGTACAACTTGAAAACTAATTGAATGAAGTGAACGCACTCACGGTGTGGTACATTAAAGAAATGAAGAAACAAAAAGAAGACCCTTACCTTAGAAAAGTACATAGCTATCTTCGGAAAGAGAACATCAAAGCCGTACCGTTCGGCAAAGGAGCTGGTTTTTGCCTGATGTCCGACGCTGACTACTTTTCTAAGTTGATGACATCCTAAACTGCCCTCAATTTGAGATCTTGCCCACCTCACGGAAAGAGATTACTTTGAAAGTGGAAGACCAGTTCAACAGAACACTGAACCAACTTGCCGACAGTGAGAAGATTCCAATGTCGCTCTATCAACACCTTCGTCCTACGGGTGCCCAACCGGCCAAGTTATATGGGTTGGCAAAAGTACACGAAGCAACTCCCCTTAGACCGGTGCTCTCTTTACCTGGTAGCTGCTATGATAAGATCAACAAGTGGCTTGCTAATTTGTTCAGTCGGGTCCCTGGTGCCAATATTGAAACATCCACCAGTGACATGAAAAAGAGACTCACGGACGTACAATTGCTGGACGACGAGGAGCTTTTTTTTCTTTAGACGTGAAAAGTCTCTACACTAACATACCAGTTGCGGAGGCCATTGACATAGCTTGCCACGTGCTTTACAACTTTTGACTCGGCCCCGGAAATCGACAGAGATACATGCGAGCAACTCATGCAGCTGGCAGTTACTGATGTCAACTTCATGTGTGGCGATAAATGGTACGTTCAAAAAGATGGAGTCGCGATGGGAGCTGCAATGGCGGTTATTCTGGCCAATGTGTGGATGAAGCGGTTTGAAGATGACATTGTTTCAGATGAACCACACTCCATCAATAAAGAGTAAGAAAGATCTGCGACTGATGTTAAGACAATGTGTCCCGTCTGCGCCAAGAAGGTTACTTGGAAAGGATACTCTATACGGTGCAAGAAATGCAAGTTCTGGCTTCATCGTAAATGCAGTGAGATCTCCCTCAATGCGATAAAGAGCATGCATGGTGACCAGTGGATTTGCCCTCAGTGCCAAGAAGAGGAAACAGTTCCGGCCATTAGGGAAAAAGCAAAAATCTTCGGACGCTATGTAGACGATATCTTGAGATCTGCGCAGAGGGACTCTATCGACAACATTTTAGACAGGGTCAACACGCTTCGCCACAACTTGGAATTTACTATCATTCATTATTGATTGCCGAAATTCCAATGGCCAATTGAAGAGAGCCACGCAAAGATAAAGACACTTAAATATCGTATAAACGAAGCATCAGCTCAATATATAGTTGAAAGCTCTCCACTAGCCCACATTAGCTTTTTTCTAATGCTATAGTTTTTTAACGTGTTATTGGTCTAAACGCATTATGTTTCTATGTACGATGGGAAGAACAAATCTGCTTACAAATGTTAGTTTGTTCACCATGCCAGGTTTCACTCAATTATGCCAACGTTAAAGTAGTTTTCAAAATTTTTTTTTACAAAAGGTCAATTAAAATGGGCCCTTCCGTCATGCGACGGTGCGTGCACAGGTTGGATAGGGCCGTACCAACGCTATATAAATACATCAGCAAAATTTTGTGAATAAATCAAGTCGATTTTCAATTGAAAGGTGGGGGTGGGATGGAAAAGAATCATCAAAAAGGGGTGGTAAAATCGATTTAGTTATTTCCGAAATTTGATTGGATTCCAAATAGCGTGTTTTTAGCTACAGTTGAGTTATACCAAAGTAAAAGCTGTATAGTTTTGTTTGTTTCCCATGCCAACTCTTCGCAAGTAAGTGGCTACTGAATATGAAAATACAGTAAATGAAAAATCTTAGAATTGTGAATAGGAGTTTGCATTATTGTGAATAATTGTTTGTTTTATTTGAAACACTTAGAACATTCAAAAGTTTTTGCTCAGGGAAACAAGACAGATGATTGGGGAGAATCGGTGCTGCAAAGAGTACATATGCTGGAACGTCGAATCTCTGAGTTGGAGATGCGAGCTGGAAAGATTCCCAACCGCCCCCCTGTGACTTTCCAAACTGTTGCTGAGGCAACAATCCACAATTCCTACGAACTGGGAGGAGTAGTTTCTGAAGGCAAGCCTCAGAAGAGTGCAGCAGCTGCAAATAAGCGAAAGCCAAGCCAGTTACCCACCACTCCAATTAAAGCTGCCAGAAAGCTTCCTCATTTAGATACCAATATTCTGTCTGGGTTCGGAAGTGCTTCCGAAACAGCCAAGGATTTTACAGAGCCGAATACACCAAACAGTCCTCTTGGTCTGAAAACGTCTACATTGACGCCTCGAAGCCTGCAATCGGCCGCTTCAAGGTGCAAAAGTAGTCCACGAGCTAAACTGCCATTGAAGAAAGCTAAACAGGATTATGAAGCTTTGATTAGTAGTCCAAATATCAACCGCCGAATCTCGTATGGAAAGCCGAAGGCTGACCGAATGGGACGTTGGAAAGAACCAAGTATCAAAAGAAAGAAATCCAAAATTATAATTTCAAAGACTGCTTCGGACAAAGAAAACTCGGTACCTTAAACTGCATAGTTGCTTTTGATTCATTGTTAGTTTGTTTGATTGTTTGTAAATCGTTTGAGTTGGATCTTTGTTTGGTTTTGACCATAAATTTGCAATTCAATTGTAACTGTCGTGTGACAAAGTTTCATATAATTTACACTGCCTACATAGGTATGTTATGACTATTTTGTGGTGAGAAGCTTATTGTGCATAGCCGTGGCGGTTACTACTGAACGTGGTCATCGCATCGGGTCAATTTTTACAAAATCAATTGTAAATCAAGCTGAATTTAAACAGCGTGAAAATGTTATATAGTAGTCTTAAAACTCTGATTCGAAAATTAATTTCCTAAAATATAGTTCTAAGAAAGTTGAAAACAACAGCATAAAGCAGAAATATCGAATAAATTATTGAAAAATTAAGATAAATAAAAGAATTAATACAAAATTTCCATGGTTATTTGTATATTTTATGTGAAGCGTACTTAGAAAACATCCTTTTGCTTTGCTGAGACGGCAATAGAAAATGTTCCGACCGTCGAAAGGGGTGGGCTTTTTCTCCAGGTGTCTTTTTGGTTTTTTTTACGACGCAAATTCCGGTACTACAAGCAATCATCGAAATGGGTCTATTGAATTATCGTAAAAAAAGCCCTTCAGTCGTCGTTCGAATTGAATAAAAAGTTCCAAAACGGGTAATACTCCTTAGAGTTTTTTAGTTTTTACTTTAATTTTGACTAGTAAAGCGGATGTGCAGGCTTAAAAGAATTATGTAGGAAGATAACTGTTGTCATATAGGCCTAAGTTAGTTTAACTATTGAGCATGCTTTAGCTTTAGGGTTCATCCTCTCATCACACAACGAACAAAAAACGAACTCTTATCGCCCCTTTTTGTTTTTTAGGTCGACCAAATTGATTTTCCGAGCACTCCCAGAACACTATAAAAATTGGTAATTTTTCCTAACTGAACTGGAAATGATCTTTCTTATTCGGTTCAAATTGAAAGATCATTTTCCCCATTTGATCGTTTAAATTCGCCGGTGAATTAACCTTAGTCATTGGTTCGAGCAACTTTGTGCGGGTGATTTACCATATGAATTACAACTGGAATTATCACTCCAATCTCATTAAATCACTCCTTATTAATCAACCGTTTGTCGCTGCATTAAACTTGATAGGTTATGGTCACAGTGCCTAAATACGAGTCAAGATTGACTGTTTATTCAATCGAATAAACTGAGATTGGCTTTGGAGCTGTGACAGAAATAAGAAACACAACTTTAGATAGAAAACTGCGCAAAGATAGAAGCAGGGCAATACAACTTCAAGAAAACAAGTCAGACGATAGAAGCAGGGCAACACAACTAGAAGCGAAAACAGGGCTTTGAGTAGAATAATCCACTACAAAAAGTTGGAAGAATAGTAGTCAAAAGCAGCACCAAGGTGGCACTGAGTGAGCACAGCGCATAAAATAAAAGAAAAAAACTGAAACCAACTGATAAACTACATGTAACATTTATAAGAGTTGCTGATTTATACTCATTTTTTTTACTGAGGAACCATTTCTTCCGAACGCAGTTGCTCGAAAATAGATTAATAGTAAAAGAAAAACTGAAACAAACTGATAAACTTCATGTAACATTTGTAAAAGTTGCTGATTTATACACATTATTTTTGCTGAGGAAAAATTTCCTCCGTGCGCAGTTGCTCGAATCTGACAGAAATAAAATCGAAAGCATTGCCTCAAAAAAAAGATACTGATACCCAGAAAAAAAAGACAAACTTCTATATTGCTAAAATAAATTCACTAGTATGAAATTTGAAGAGGGACCTTAGCTTTGCTGATGTGTTTTTCGGTACGCCGACCGTGAGGTTCCGAATCAGACTTAGGCCATCAAAATTACTTGTGAATTTGTACACGTTCGTTGCCCGCAATTTTCTACAGAGGTTGAGATTGTCTTCAACAACACAAACGGGGCACATTGAGAATTTTTCGGTGAGTACTTAAGTTAAGCGGCAAGCACAAATCATGTAAGGAGTAGCAAGCACAAATCATGTAAGGAGCAGCGAGCACAAATCATGTAAGGAGCAAAAAGAATGTAAGAAAGAGTGAATTATTTTAAAAAAAAGAATTAATTAGAGAGGAGAAATAATTAATTGGAGAGGCATTAATTTGCAAAGATGTCATTTATTATTTGCTCAGGAAAAAAATCAACGTTTAAGAGAACATTTTCGATTTATTACAATCATTATCAGTCTAAAAAAAAAGGAAAAACAATAAACATACAAACCAAAGTGTACAAACAGAATAAAATCAAAATTGAATAACATAAAAACAGTATAAAAATAGCACCGAGAGATCTAAAAAAATATATATATAGATATCTTTAAGCCATCTTTGAAGGGACAATCAACCTTTCGATAGTAATTTCCAAGTTGTTGTAAATTCCAAGTTGACGGTAACTTTGGTAGAAGCATATATTTTATTGGTGCAAGTTCGCTCTCGAGAGCGATATATTCAGAAAATTATTGCAAAAGAAAGATGCTGCTGAGTTGTGCGACCGCTATCCCTGGCCTGAGTTTCAACAACCAAACAAGGAACCAGTTGAAAGTATTGCAGAAAATGCTGGTGAAAGGAAAGTTGAAGGAAGTGTCTAATATCGTTATTTGGCACGACGTAATTAACAATTCGATTTCTAAACACCGCAGCAATAACAACACTGCATTTGACGTAAACAAGTTGCTTCAGATACTCTTGCAGTTCAAGAACAGGATCAAGTGTATTATATGCACGAGACGGTGTGGAACGCAAGACATCTTCGAAGCGCTGGTGACAACTGGTATTTTAGTTTCGCACACAGAACGACACTTGTCATCAAAAAGGAATCTGGGGAAGCCTGACTACAAAGAGGAACTGAAATTACTTCACCCAAAACAGCATATTGAATTAACATTTATATCCCTTATATTAAGTTTTCAGTCCAAAATAGAACAACTGGTGAAAAAGTCGAGGTCGAAGAAACGAAAACTATCTAAGAAACATCGAAACAAAAAGAAAGCAGGGTCACAGTAGAGGTTAGGCGGTTTTTTCTTTCGTGCCTTTGTTGACTCCAGAGGGGCTCAGCTCCTCGGAGGCGCCCAGGCTCGTTGTTTGCGCCCGTCGTGTTCTCTGTCCCGTTCTTGTCTGGTTCTTCATCAGTGTTTTTGCTTCTCTGACTATGGTCCATTTACTTGTCCCTCTACCATACTTGGCGAGAATCTGGAAGAAAAACGACACTTGGAGATTCTTTGTGCGATATCAACGTAGCTTGCGTAACCACATACATAACAAGTACCGTGTTGACTTCCTTCATTCTTGTCTGAGAAACGATTCGACCCCACGATTTCTCAAGTTCCGCATTCCCAGCGATGGTTGTTTTGAGCCTACCATCGTTCATAACTTCCACAGGAAACTATCGAAGAAAGAGATAAGCACTACCAGTGCTCGAGTCCTAGAAGTCAAAGAGGAACTTGATAACGCACGCAAAGAGTTTCTCCAATACACATCTGAGGCCACTCTCCCTTCCAAAAAGTTCCATACTAGAAAATACATGCGCGAACTAGTGTCTGAAATAAAAGATCGGCACCGCAGAAAGCTTGAGAGTCTTTTCAGCGAACAAGAAAAACCCCTCCACGATTTAAAGAATACTGTCAGGATTGTGGGAGACATCAAAGTGCCAGATCTAGTGCTTGACTACTTATCGTTGGGTCCGAAACACCCAGTGCGCGACAAGTTTAACGACTTACACTTCTTAGCAGATGTGGATCGTTTCAAATTATTGAAAAATTTAGATAAAGAAAGAATTAATACAAAATTCCCATGGTTATTTGTATATTTTATGTGAAGCGTACTTAGAAAACATCCCTTTGCTTTGCTGAGACGGCAATAGAAAATGTTCCGACCGTCGAAAGGGGTAGGTTTTTTCTCCAGGTGTCTTTTTGGTTTTTTTTACGACGCAAATTCCGGCACTACAAGCAATCATCGAAATCGGTCCATTGAATTATCGTAAAAAAAGCCCTTCAGTCGTCATTCGAATTGAATAAAAAGTTCCAAAACGAGTAATACTCCATAGAGCTTTTTAGTTTTTACTTTAATTTTGACTAGTAAAGCGGACGTGCAGGCTTAAAAGAATTATGTAGGAACATAACTGTTGTCATATAGGCCTAATTTAGTTTAACTATTGAGCATGCTTTAGCTTTAGGGTTCATCCTCTCATCACACAACGAACAAAAAACGAACTCTTTTCGCCCCTTTTTTGTTTTTTAGGTAGACAAAATTGATTTTCCGAGCACTCCCAGAACACTATAAAAATTGGTAATTTTTCCTAACTGAACTGGAAATGATCTTTCTTATTCGGTTCAAATTGAAAGATCATTTTCCCCATTTGATCGTTTAAATTAGCCGGTGAATTAACCTTAGTCATTGGTTCGAGCAACTTTGTGCGGGTGATTTACCAAATGAATTACAACTGGAATTATCACTCCAATCTCATTAAATCACTCCTTTTTCAATCAACCGTTTGTCGCTGCATTAAACTTGATAGGTTATGGTCCCAGTGCCTAAATACGAGTCAAGATTGACTGTTTATTCAATCGAATAAACTGAGATTGGCTTTGGAGCTGTGACAGAAATAAGAAACACAACTTTAGTTAGTAAACTGCGCAAAGATAGAAGCAGTGCAATACAACTTCAAGAAAACAAGTCAGACGATAGAAGCAGGGCAACACAACTGGAAGCGAAAACAGGGCTTTGAGTAGAATAATCCACTACAAAAAGTTGGAAGAATAGTAGTCAAAAGCAGCACCAAGGGGCACTGAGTGAGCACAGCGCTAAAAGAAGCACAGCGCATAAAATAAAAGAAACAAACTGAAACTGGATAAATAAACTGAAACAAGATGATAAATTACATGCAACATTTGTAAAAGTTGCTGAGTTATACTCATTTTTTGCTGAGGAACCATTTGTTCCGAACGCAGTTGCTCGAAAATAGATTAATAGTAAAAGAAAAAGTGAAACAAACTGATAAACTACATGTAACATTTGTAAAAGTTGCTGATTTATACTCATTTTTTTGCTGAGCAACCATTTCTTCCGAACGCAGTTGCTCGAGTATAGATTAAAAGTA